CATGTGGCAGCCCAAGAGGAACACCAGGTTCTGCAGTAACGTGTTGGCCGCATGTAGTTGGAGGGCCTGTCGTTCAGAAACCCACGGGACGCCCCAGAACCACTCATGTGTACCCCCGTCCAGCCATCTGGCCGCGCTCCAGGTTTCACAGGGGGGCCCCCCCCCTGTGTTCCACACCCGTCTGGCCAAGATGTGTTCACCCCACTGTGTGATAGTATCTGTGCGCATGAGATCCCCAAGTTCTGTGTCAATGGCTATGTCCACTGAAAGCATGATAATATGGTAGGCTGTCGCAACATGCTCCTGCTCAATCCAGGCCTGCGCGTCGCCTTCGCGCCGCCTGCCTGAAAAAAGGTTGAGCACAAAAATCTCCTTTCTGTGCACTCGTATGGATATCCACTCGGCGGCTAGTCCACTGAAATCCTGCGGTCGATATCTGTAGTATCTGTCACTGTATGTAAGTCCTTCCTGCACTGCTGGCTGGGGGGGATCAGTGAAGAGAGCTGTGTATGCTGATAAAGCAGTAGGCCCTATTTCGTATGCATGTGTACGAAGAAGTTCCTTGGCCTTACTCTCAGAGAGAAAGGCTGCTGCAAACATGGCTGCTGGGTACAGCCCTTCCATTGGATATTGTATATGTGCTGGGAATGCTGCTCTCCATCTGCCTAGTCCTGCACGGCGCTGTTTCGCGTGCAAGTCGAGATCTGCTTGTCGCAGCTCCTCTGCCCTCTCTGGAGGGACCGTTGTTCCATGCAAAATGTAGGCCAGCTGGCACAATGCAGCGTCAAAGGCTAGGTGATCCCTGAGAAGATGCCGAGAGGAGAAAACCATAGAGCACGCCATGCATACTGTCCCCTCCCCCATGAACCTGGATACCACGTGCACCTGGCTGTAATGTACGCGTGCGATGTGCTGTCGCGTGCTCTTTGCAGTCTTACCCACATCACACCACATGCGTGAAAGTCAACTTGCACCTGTGGGGGGGATGGAGAGGGTGATTCACGTTCGTGATCAGTATCGGTACTCCTGCCGGGTGCACAAGCTGAAAGAAATCCTGCTGCGCCTTGTCGGCCAAGGCTGCTCTCGCCGCTGCATATGCGTGATGCGTGCGCAGCGAGGGTGGCGTGCAGTACTTTCTTCCAAGCTGGGAGAGACTGCAATATTCGAACTTCCCATGCCTGGAAGTCCTCAACTGGATCTGGCATATCGCGAAGCCGGCAGTTGGTGGTTCGCACCCATTGCAAGTCCTGTAGTACTCTGTGTAGCCATGTATGTTTGTGTATGTGCGCCTTGCGATAAGCATGTGTGAGTAGGCTGCGTAGCGTAGGTGTGCCATGATGTAAGAGGCGACCCAGCTAGCGTAGCCTGTGTACTCTAAGCACCGCACGTAAATCCGCCCGTCGTACCCGTGCCA